GCTGAAGCTATGTCTTTCCTCGTCGTCAGACTCACCCTTGAATGCCGAACGCTCAATGCGAGCATATGATGCAGTCGACCCAAGAACTATTCCGAACCCGAAAGTTTTATATAAAGCACCAACTGCAAGGATGGGCGCATCTTCTTCATGTACCAATCCTTTCCGACGCCGTCACCTTAGCGAAAGGGTTCAGCATGGGAGACTTTCTGGAGAATTAAGCCTAAGCCAAACCCTAAACCCTAAACCCGGGCTTGAGCCTGAAACCGAAACCCAAGCCTTGCACCGCCGCCACGGCCCGCCATTGCGAGTGTGTTGTGATTTGGACTCCTGAGTCCGAGGTGTCCAGCAGTTCCGAGGTCAGGTTTAGATCTTTTTAGGGGTTGAGGGTTCAGGGTTCGACAGCAGCTTCCACAATGCAGCCAATAAGAGCGCCAGGCAAGTATCGCAAACTCAAGGCCTTAAACTCTGGGTTCGAGGATGGGATGGGCTGTGATGTTGTAGAACCCCTAAAGAACCCTGACAGAACGCAAGGCAAAGTTGGCCCATAGAAGGCTTACAATCATGACTACACAGAAGCACGGGATGGATTTAGGCCCAAGCTCTGCTTCTAGTTGTTGAAGAACCCTCACTAGACCCTTGGCAAGCCCTCGAGCTTCTTCCGGGGGTCAGGGCCCTAAACCCTAAATCCTACTTAGAGGCCCAGGGGACTTAGTAGGTAGGTTATAAGTAGGGTTAGAAGTACCCTAATGGAGTTACCCCAATTATTATAATAATAACCCTACCTCTAACCGACTTACTAAGTCCCCTAGGCCTCTAAGTAAGGATTCCCCTATGAGGCAAGGCGCTAAACCCCTAGCCTAATCAAACTGAAGTCATGCCTCGCCTCGATTGTCCGAGTGTGAGCGCCGAAACAGCTAAAGTGACTAAACCCTAAGTTTCAAAATCCTAAAGCCCTACGGCCCCGATTCTTAAGTTACCATAATAGGGATCTATAGTAAATAATATGATTCCTTTTTTATGGTAACGTAAACCTTAAGGTTGAGTGTTTACGGATTGGGAGTTTAGGGTGTCGGGTGTAGACCTAGCAGAAATATCTGTGTTTGATCTGCGAAACTAGTTTGCAGTGTGTTGGTTCAAAAAGTAGTTTTCTACAGTTGCCTGGTCTACAACCTTGTTTGCCATTCCCACGATCCTCCAAGTATTGCATACCTTCGAGCCCTTGAAGTCTATGCTTTTTGTGAGCTGTGTAACTTCCGGGTCAATTGCTCCTTCGAGCTTTTGGGTAGTTCGCTAAATTAGGGTCCAGCTTAAAGCCCTTTTCTCATAAGGTTGCCGCCTTCTCTTTCGGGTTCCTAAGAACGCACCCTAATTTAGAGAACTGCATACCCAGAGAGCCCAATACCCCTTAATTAAGGAATATAGCTTAAATCATAATATGAAGCCCTATATGTTTTAAGCCATATTCCTCAATTAAGGGGTATTGGGCTCCCTGGGTACTCTTTTCGCAGGAACACCGCCTCCTACCTGAATGCGCTCATCGGGCTCGAGACCTACACAGGCGACTCAGGACGCGCCTTTTGCCAAAGGGGGGTTCGGCTCAGGCCCTGCGATGGGCCGCGGCTCCCATAAAGACTATAACTATACTCCCCTTAGATTTTTGGTTCATATCAAGAGAAAAACAAAAAATAGTATTATTATGGTTCTAAAAGGGTGTAGATAACAGACCACAATAGTGCACGATAATATGCTATAGTGTAGTGCAGGGGCAGTTGTCTGTCTGGAGACTTGAGGTTTGAGGCCGAAAGAGAAAGGGGAGTTTCCGAAAATTAGGGGTTCCTTATTTTGGGTTCCTTATAATAAGGATCCTACTATATTAGGGTCCCCTGTTTTCGGTAACTCCCAAATCCCTATCTCCAAACGCAGCCTTTTACCAACTACACGTGGGATGTGCTATGTGGGGATCCTTTTCGCAGGGATCTTACTGCTTTGTCTTTGTGACCAGGTCTCCTCATTGTCTGAGGCCACAGAAAAGCCCTAAACCACAAACCGCAAGCCATCACTTCGAAGCTGGTAGGAGTGAGCCTTCGAAACGCCTTGCAGACGCTCTTTGCCGGTCAGCACCTCCTCGACATCTATCGAGAAGTCCTCAAGTTCCCAACTGTGGATTGAAGGGTTCGGAACTTGGGGCCTTGAGCGTGGGATTTAGGGTTTAGGGTTTGGTGCGGACCAGGATTTTTGGTTTAGGGTTTGGTGGAGTTTAGGGTTGATTTTGGGGCTTAGGGCCTTTATAGTGTTTAAGTTTCTGGCGCGTTTAAACCTTCCTTCCCACACCGTAGGTGCCCTGAACCCACGAGAATCACAATCCGTCTTCCACCTTCAGCACCACACCGAAAGCTTAAACCCCAACCTTAAACCTCCCCACACCCTATGTAGACCCTAAACCGTGAGCCTTGAGCCCTACCCATAGGCATAGTAGATCCTTTTCTGGGAGTACCTTATAGAATTCTATATATGGGAGTTTCCGAAAATAGGGGACCCTAATATAGTACCCTAAATAGTAGGATCCTTATTATAAGGACCCCAAATAAGGTACCCCTAATTTTTGGAAACTCCCATATATGAACCCCCAAAAGGAACTACTATTGCGCGGGGCCTGCGCTCTGGGGCGAAGCCTCCAACTTCCTCCCAAGCAAGCCGCCTCAGAGCCCCTGGCCCCAGCCAGAACCCATCACAGGCCAAGGCCAGTCCATCAATGTGTGTGTGTGTATATATATATATATATATATTTGTAATCATAAACATACATACATACATACATACATACATACACACATACAAAAATTGTTATGTATATGTATATGATGATATGTATATGTATCTGTATATGTATATGTATATGTAAATGTATATGTATATGTATAGGTATAGGTATAGGTATAGGTATATGTATACGTACATGTGTATGTGTATGTGTATGTGCATGTGTATGTGTATGTCTATGCGTATGTATTTGTATATGTATATGTATATGTATATGTATATGTATATGTATATGTATGTGTATAGGTATAGGTATAGGTATAGGTATAGGTATAGATATATGTATACGTACATGTGTATGTGCATGTGTATGTGTATGTCTATGCGTATGTATTTGTATATGTATATGTATATGTATATGTATATGTATATAAATATGTATATGTATATGTATGTATGTTATGCATATATGTCGATATGTATCATTGGGGCTTCGGATTTCCAGACAAGCCACTGGGCATCTCCCGACGGTCGAGAGCAGGATATCCGCAAACCTAAGGTGTCGAAGCCTATTAAAGCATTATCCAAGGATCCCAAAAGCACATAAGCATAAGCATTTTGTAGGGATATCGCTACCTTATTGGTCTTCACTTTTGATTGTGTTCGTTTTTTTGGGGGGCCCGATTATCCAAGGACCCCTTTCGCGGTATCCTTCACCCCGTGGGTCACTGCGGAGCCTTGGACAGCTGTCAACGTTTTGCCGTATGTCGTGAGATTTGCTTGGTGGTTTAGGCCTTTAATCCTAAACCCGACACCCTAGCTGCGGCCCCCTTCTCCCCAAATCCTGACTCCTTAGATGCACGGCGGAACTTGCTGAATGAAACCTGATGCGCCCCAATAAGTAAATCAACTGCCAACCCTCGTTCCAAACTCTCGAACCCAAACCCAAAGTCCCGAACCCTACAGTCCTACAGAACCATTGTATGGGCGAGTTGGAGCATATGAGGATTACGTTCTTGGACCTTGGGTCTGTCCATAACTTCTTTACGACGTCATTTCATGGCGAAGCCCCCAAACCTCACATCGAGTGTGAGAATGGAAAACTCCACGCCTTCCAAGCCTGACTTTAGAGGCTCTAAACCCTAAACCCTAAACTGCTTGGGTTTGAAAAAGAAATCAGGGCGGTAGTGGGGGACAGAACACATTGCTTCGATGACAGAGCTCTTGCCCAGGGTTTCGTAGGTATTCTTACACACTTCAGAAGTTTAAGGTGTAGGAGTCAATTTAAGGGGCTTACAGGATTTTCGAAGATGTCGCAGGGTTCTATAGGAATTTTTATGAGGTGTTATCGAGTTTCAGTAGGTTTTCTAGAGTCTACAGTACGGGGTCTCGGGCTTTCGGGGCGTGTGGAGTTTAAGGATCGCTCCTCTTACATAGGGTCGGGCTTAGACTAGACTAGGCCGGGGTACCGGACCAAGGCAGTGCCCACAAGTGGCATTTTGGCACCAGGCAGCACCTCAAGTGTTCGGTACGATGCAGGGGGCCTGGCACGGGGCGACTGCGGGTTGCCAAAGCCATGCTAGCTTTCAAGATGTGACATGAAGGTTTTGTTGGATCCTTGGACTTGCTGCAGGGAGAGAGGGTGATGTACACTTGTCTTGTCATCATATGCTTGGACATGCTGCAGGGAGAGGGTGATGTAGGCTTGTCTTGTCATCATATGCTTGAACCTGTAGAAGAAGCCCTTTGTGCCCCTGCCCATGCCCCACCCCTCCGTTGGAACTGTGCTGTCCGCATGTCAACTTCATGCAGGGGATTTAATAAATAGAATGTCATACTATATCGGGATACAGGGGCTATGAGGGGATAGTATCCCGTTACGTAGTCCCTTTAGTCAAATGACATTTTTCCCGTGTATTTTGGAGTTCCATGCCTCTGGATATTTTTCCTGTGTGAGGTCACAGTACTGTAGTACCCCGAACAGTTGCAGTTGCTTTTCCCGAGGGTTCTTGATTCTTAATTATATTACAGTGTACCCTAGAACCCTGTCCCAATCATGGAGTCCCATGTATTTTCTTGTCAAGAACCGCGAAACCGCAGCTCCTGTATGCCCGAGATCGTTTTGCAGGTCTTCAAGAAGCGCATGACTCATCCCTGAATATTTTCTTACTAGGCATCAACCTTTCTTGGAGGTTTGGGTTTTCGGGTTGATCGTAAGTTGCTGCGCTTCGTTTCGAGCCATGGACATCTCGCGCGTGAAGAAGCTTTTGAGGAATCATCCGACCCGGGTGCCGGTCGTTTGCTGGAGGCTTAGGGTTTATAGGGCTTTTGGGGTTTAGGGTGGTCAGGGTTTAGAGTGTTTAGGGCACGAATTTTGGTGGTTGCTGCAGTGTTGTCCCCAATGACTCTCCTTGTTTACTTTTGGGTTGCCGTGGGAACTGCTCCGGTCCCTGTTGATAGATGCATCGCTGGCACTACGAAATATACAAGCCCTGCAAGCGTCAGAGAAGGTCTGTAATAGCATCCTGTAAACCAAAAGAGTTACTACTGAGGGCGCCTGCATTATCAGACCGTCTAAAAATGCTAAAAGCCGCCTTAATTAGCTTGAATCCTTATGAGTGCCTTTTTTACATACCATAGAAAGCTAAAGCCATAAGGCCTTTAGAAAAAACCGTACGGTGGAAAAACCGTCGATCGTTGAATCAGGGCTTCGCCGTCGGGTCGCACCGGTTCGTGGTTGAGGCTTTCAGGGGCCTTATAAAGGGGTCTATAAGGGTTACTATAAGGGTACCATAATATAGGGCCTTACATATCTTACCTTCGGTTAGTAGGGAATGGTAGGCTTTTTTTAAGGGGGTCGATAAGGGCTACTATAAGGGTACTGTAATATAGGGGCCTTAATAGTCCTATAACTTACCTTTTGGTGAGTAGGGAATGGAAGAATGGTAGTTATCGTAGTTATAGTTATATCCCATTCCTATTTTCCCTACTAACCCAAGGTAAGTGTGGTGTGGTAAAGGTTACTGGCTTAGGGCTCTGGGGTGCAAGGCTTACGGTATCAGTTTGAGGGTTCTAACGGTTAGGGCTCTGGGGTGTAATGCTTAGGGTTTCAATTTTAGGGTCTTGCGGGGTAGGTTTGGAGTTCTTCAAGTTTCCGAAACTCCGGAAACCCTAAGGCCCAAGGTGCTCAGGGCCCAAATAGATCCACGGACCTCATGCTCAGTAGTTGAGCTTTGTAAGCTGGAGCTGACTGGAATATCACTGGAATATCACAGTAGTCCCTATACAATCCCCAATAATAACCAATACCCCATTCCCTCATTCCCTAATATTTTGCACCAGACAGTTTACGGTGCGAAACAGAAAGCGTATAGCTTTGTTGGCTTATGAGCTGGGCGACTACAGATGTCGTATGGTATTGTGACGCAAACGCCCCAATAGTCGAGTCCGTCCGCTGCAAGGACGACAACGACAGACCGTTACATACCGTAATACGGTAGCATTATAAGATAAGAAACAACAACAAGGTATCACCGAAAGGCCCATTCCACCTTTGGCTTTGCTGCCGCAGGAGTAAGAGATTAAACTACTGTAGACAACATTGACCTTACTCTCCTGGTCCTGGGTCCTCATCCCTAAACCCTAAAATCTAAACCCCGAAGCCCCTATAGTAGAAGCCAGAAAGTTGGAACATGGCTTTAGGAGGATTCGTGCTAGGATCCCTTTTAACTTACCTTCAGGGCATGAGGAGAATGATGTTCCAGCTTTCTGGCTTCTACTATAAACCCTACACCCCCTAAACTCCCCTAAGCCTTAACCCTAAACTCACAGGGGTGCTGGACGCGGGGGCGACGACTACAAAAAGCTCTTGATGCCCAAAGAGTCCCTTTGCTTCGACTGGGATCAGGTAGGCAGACTTAGTAGCACTTAGACGAGTAGGCCCTTCTTCCCTTTTTTTTTTTGTTTTTAGGGTTCAGGTTCCCTTAAAAGCCCCTTTAACCCCAAGAGGGCACCCTTTCCATTTTTAGGTTACTCTTGGGTCTAGACTTGGTAGCAGAGTGGCCTAATTTTTTGGGGTTATGATAATCCCTATCTCATCCCAAAGAAGGTTAACCTCCAGGTAAACGTGAGAACGGGCAGATTGCAAGGGGTCCCTGGTTGCCGGGGAGTGTTTGTCACGTTCGGGGTCGCAGACTGAAAGATGTCACCTCAAGGCAAATCTCCTTAGTGTACCCCAAGTGCTGGCTCGCTCTAGGGGTTTACGTAGCAGGCTGTGAGCTTGGCCGCTTGAGGGTGTCGGGGTGAATTTAGGGGAGAGGCCGAAGGAAAAGATGATCCCGAATGCAAGAAGTATCTCAAGCCTACGAATGGGATGCCACGCCCTTGTCCAGATGGAGAGGTTTCTGGCTTGAACCACCAAAACTAAAGCCTAAACCCTGAACGCCTAACCCCTGAACGCCTAACCCCCAAACCCTAACCCCTAAACCCTTTATGCCAGCGCAATGTAGCTTGGAGTGGCCAATGTGCTGGACAGTCGTGTACTCGAATCCTCGCCTGCTTGTCTAGTTGTGAGTGCTGAAACCCTTTATGCCCCGAGCGAGCCTTAAAGGACGTGGTTTTTCGGGCTTCGGAGCCTTCGAGGTGTGCAGGGATGAAGATGGGGAGCCTGAACTCCCCCACGGAAAGGATCTATGACTGAACCTACCAAAACCTACTTTTTTGTGGGGTCCATAAACTCTAAACCACAGTCATACCTAAAGCTACCAAACCCTACATCTTTTGTAGGGTTTGGTAGCTTTAGGTATGACTGTGGTTTAGAGTTTAGGGTTTGGGGTCCAGTTGCAAAAGAGGTCCGAAGGATGGAATAATTGGAGTAGAGCTATTACGTATCGCAAGGGTAGTTGGTTAGGCATTGGCTAGAGGATGTTGTTAAGGTCGGCCAATACCGGAGGGAGTACAGCATGATGATTAGGTAATTACTTGGACCCGTGTGATGGCGAGAATATACACACCGAGACCCTATTGCAAATATTCAGGCACCTATATGGGAGTTTCCGAAAATTAGGGGTACCTTATTTTGGAGTCCTTATATCAAGGATCCTATTATTTAGGGCACTATATTAGGGTCCCCTATTTTCGGAAACTCCCATATCAGGCCTTTGAGGAAGAGCCTCCCGAGTCCTTGACGTCAAGAAACCGAGGTATCACATCCAAGAGTTCGTCGTGAAAGTGAAGGAGCACGTGCCATGGGCGAAAGACAGGAGCGGCTGTGCTCATGAAACCCCGCGGGGGGGGTGGGGTACTATACTTCCTTACATGGGAGTTTCCGAAGATTGGGGGTACCTTATTTTGGGGTTCTTATAATCAGGATCCTACTATTAGGGTACGATATTAGGGTCCCCAATTTTCGGAAATTCCCAAATAGGCCTCATCAAGTCCGTCGGGGCCGAGTTCCTTTGCGGGCTAAGGGCTCTTGTGGACCAAGACCTGGCGCTTCGGATGTGGGATCAGAGGGGAGAAAAGAGTCCCCGATGTAGGGCCCAAAGGGTCCTATGTACTGTTATGGAGGATACTTCCCGAAGTCATTATAGTAAGTCCTAATTTGGAAAAGCTACATTCTACTATATCGGTACATGGGACCCTTTGGGGGGGTTTGAATAACTAGAAGTAGGCTTCCTTGAATAAGCGGTTTGTAAACGAACAAACCCTTAACAGATACTTAGCAAGCTAGCAGGCAGCATGACTTTTGGGGTCTCATTTGCGCGACATACTCAAGGCCATAATGTTTTGAAGCTTACGTGCGACCTTACACTGAAGGTTCTGGGGCATGATCTGAACCGCGAGCTCACAAGCTTGGACTCTACATCTCTGCACCTCGAACCCTATGTACTTATTGGCTGTAAACTCAACTGTTCAGCTAAGGTAGTCGATCCTGAAAGTTTCATCTTTTATTTCCTTGGGTTTTGGGCCAGTGAGTGTGTAAGGCGGCGATAGACCTTGAACCCTGGACCTTATTGCCCCGCAAAGCTTCCGGTTTAGATACTACTCAGGGTACTTTATAAGAGCCCCCACTAAGGGATCTACTTTTTGGATTCTCCCGGGGGTCTGGGTAAGGTTTAGGGTTTAGGCTGCGTTTCCCATAATTCGCAAGCCCTCAAGTTTCTTCAGAACAAGCGTGCTTACCGACTTCCTGCATCTCTGACCCAGAGCATTTCTTCTTGGCACCCGCCGTACCGAAAGCAGAGCATTGGGGAATTGCAGCAGACACGATTACCGTAAGCGCAGAGGCAAAAACCAGCACAAATGCACCAACACTGGAAACTAATAGTACAACAGCGAACAAGCACGGCAGCAGCAACAGCGCGGCATCCCTGACGACAGTTGCATGAATGGATATCCGTAGGGCTCAAGTTTACGTAAATAATCAGTGAGTTACCAACCGTATGTAATATACAACCCAGTAAACCATTATTCAGGCATTGTAGGAACCTGATTAAGAAAACCTGGGCCTATAACCCCAAAATAGTAGGGTTCATATACAATATAAGGAACCCTAATCAACGCCCAACAGGTTCCAACATTAACTGGAGCCCTATGACATTGTAAGTCTTGGAAGCCTCCAACTCGGCGGAGCTTTCAGGAGCGAGGTAAAGTGCATCCCGCATGATATCCTGCTGAGCGCTGAGAACGCCACGGCACAATGGCATCTTGGCTGCCATGATCATGTTACATCTTGTGCTTTTTTGCGGACCCTAAACCCCCAAAGCTTTAAATCCACAAACCCTGAAACCCCTAAAAGCCTAAACCCCAAACCTTGACGCTTCAAAACAAAACGCAGCCCCAAGGACTGTAAGGGAGCTCTACGCGACGTACGCCCTGGGCGACCTCTGTCTCCACCTGGAGGCGGAATAAGTGCTAAGTGATATGGAAGTTTCCGAAAATAGATAGCACCCTAAATAGTAGTAAGGACCCCAAAATAAAGTACCCCTAATTTCGGAAACTCCCATATAGGCTATCGTTTCTGGTGGTTCAGGGGTTTCTGGGTGCATCCAGGGTTTGTTGGATGCCATAGCACTTCCTTTAAGGGTCCTCTGAGGCTACTATAGACTATTTGGGCTGTAGGATATGTTCTTATGATGGTTTTGATATGGTTATGGTTCGTTATGTTTCTCATCGCGGTTCCATAGGTGGCTTATGTCGCTCAAGGGCTTAAGCGGTTTGTGAGGGCTTTTACTTACAACTGTCGAAAAAGAATTATGATGTTTGGATGGATCCTATAACCCTAAACCCGAAACCCTAAAACCCTGATCCTATGGCGCCCGAATCGTAGAGCTGTTCTGACTTTCGCACTTTGCGTCGTGGCTTTCGGGTCGGAAGTTGCACCGCCTTGGCTTTGTCGGGCTGGGCTTCCGGGGTTCCCGGTTTAGGGTTTAGAAGGGTTACATAGGGGTTTAGGGTTTGTTGCTGAGGATGCCTGTTACTGTGGCGGAATTGGGATTCATGTTTGCGAACACCATGTCTGGGAAGGTCTGTGGGCGAAGAAGGGGTGGCAGAGGGGTGATGGGTTGAGACAGTGAGCTGGACACCCAGGAGGCAAAATCCAGGTTCAGGCTTGAAGCACCAAGAGCTTAAGCCTTAAGAAATACAAAGAAAAATCACATGATGGCCCAGATGTCGTCCAGATCCGACGCCTTCAAACGCCCTAACCAAAGCAAACGCTAACTCCTACGCCCTTCTGAGCCCTGAATCGTGGATCCGTGAGCCCCAAGCACAGACCGTGAGGCCTAAACCGCACTGTGTTGTTTCGGGCTTAGGGTTCAGGGTCGTGAGGGGACAGCTGACTCGCTCCGGGCTGCACTCGTGTGGCGTAACGTTGCAAGCCAGTGGCAAAAAAGGGTCGTAAGGGGACCTTCAATTTGACTGGGATTGCTAAAGTGCTAAACTGGGTGATATGTTTTTCAAGGGTCTTTGCAGAGCTGTCTGGGCTCTTCGTAAAGAGGCGGTGGTCGTTTATAGGGTTGTGGGCTAGGTCATATTATACCTTTATGGGACTGCAAGGCGGATCACGAAATATGTAGAGGCGTTTCTTTTCTGGGTACCTTAAGGTTATTGTTGCAGGGTGGGGGCGGTTGGGGTACATCCGAACACCCTGAAACCAAAGTCTTGGAAGCTTCCGCCCTAAATTAATTCAACTGGTGTTTACATGAATGCACATTCCTTATGCATTAGCCCCTGTTACCCTGATGCGGTTATTATATACATACATATATCACACATATATATATATACACATATATATATATATATACGGCATGCTGAAATTCTTGCCCTGAATATGAAGACGGCTGTGGTATTCATCAGGGGCCTTGCTGCACTGAATCAAATGCCTTCGAGGTCTCCACCGGAGAGGTCGAAGTGAAGGAGGAGTTGCCGGAACAAGGGGAGCCTATCTTGTAGCTGGGACACAGAAAACCCCCTCAGCTCCACACCCCTATTCCGCAAACCCTCAACCCGGGAACTCGATTCCCTAACATAGGAAAAAGATGGCTGCCAGGCTGCAAAGCCCCCTTTTTTCCTGTGGAGAAAAAGGGTTTTGGGCCGGAACACAAACTTTCTACTAGGAACAACTTTAAAAAGACAGTCTTTTGGAGTTTGGACGCTTGGTGTCCTTACATTTTGGCCGGGTTTTCTCTGAGTGCACAGCCTTGCCATTGACTACCTGCCTATGTCGAACCTGAGTGAGGTCCCTGGAGCGTTCTATATGGGAGTTTCCGAGAATTGGGGGTCCTTGTAATAAGGATCCTAGTATTTAGGATATTAGGGTCCCCTATTTTCGGAAACTCCCATATCATGGCTCCCTGAAGCCTGGTTGTGTTGTGGTTTTGGCATTCTTTGACTGATATGGAATCCCGACCTGCCCGAAATTGTCACAGCTTTTCCAATGTCTACCCATAGGTTCTATGGTAGTTGCTTGTCGGTGTTCATACTTAGAGTCCAAAATCCGACTCTAATTATAAAGGCCGTATAATACACCCTAGCAGAAGGCAATCTTTAATTTGACCAGCGACATCAGTTTTCCTTCAGCCACGCCAAAGCTTCTGCAACCCGTCGATTGAGCCCTAACTCTAGTCTTGAATGCGCGGCAGGACTTTACGTGTAAGCACTGATGCAATTGGAGTCTTGAAACCAAGATGACGAGATTGGCTGCAGCGAAAACGTCACGCACGTCGTATTCGGGTCGTATTCGGTAGTGAGCCTATGGCCCGAATCGTTGATCGGAATGGATCATGCCGATGTACCCGAAGTCCGAACCATCTGCAGTCTTCAGAGCCCTAGCCATAATGCGCAAGAATCGGCCATGTGTTTGCATTGTAAACGTACACTGTAACAATAAGTACGGTCTGAATGGTATCCTAAAGGATTTTTATATCATAAAAATAGGATGTAGTCTCAACGTGGGACTATGCCGAGGAACTTCATTCCGGATCCGACGTTCGATGCACTTCTGGAGCAGATGTACCAGCACACGGCGACGAATGGCATGCGGCCACGTTTGCACATCATCTTCGTTCTTGGAGGGAAATGGGAGTTTCCGAAAATTAGGGGTACCTTATTCTAGGGTCCTTGTAATAGGGATCTTGCTATGTAGGGTACAACATTGGGGTCCCCTATTTTCGGAAACTCCCAAATGATGGTAGCACAACCGGTAGCCCGAAAATCAGGAGCTTACGGCATGTCGAAACTTTCGGTTTCAAGCTCCCCCAAAGTACTGTGATGAAAGAAGATGGGATGGGATCAGGCTTTTCATCAATGGGTTATAAGGCTTCTCAGAAATGCAATTCAATCATGTCCGGACGCCTATATGCCAGATCACGACAACCCACCCTAAACCCTAAACCCTAAAACCCTAAACCCTAAACCCTAAACCCTAAACCCTAAACCCTAAACCCTAAGCCGAGACGAAAGAGCACCCAAGGCTCACTCCACCGGGGCCCCTGGCGCCAATTCCGGCGATGCCGCCATACCACCTCTATGGGAAGCTCTGCTGTCATCGGGATTAGGGGTTTAGGGTAGGGGGCTTATGCGAATCTCTGCTGTCATGGGGCTTAAAGAGATCGCAAGAACTAATTAGTATTAGTATACGAAAATTGCCTGACGCTTTTAGCTTCCTGGTTCTGAAGGATGTGGGTATGGACAAGTAGCATAATTTCGGATTCAGGGCTTCTGGTTTGGGGCTACCTCACGTTTCGGCTTGCGCATTAATATAGGGAACCTGAATGGTCTAAATGGGGTTTTGAATCCCCAAGCGCGTCATTTACCACACTCAGACACCCCATGAACAATTTTATTAGTTTCCTTCGAATGACTGCAGTTTTTTAACCGTCGAGTTTATGTTTTTCAAACATTAAATGTCCCCACAAGCTCCCTAAACCCACCCCACAAGCCCAAGAACCCCAAATCCTTGAAACCCAAAAAAAGGCTCAAAAAGCATCTCTTTCAAATCCTCAGTTTTACAAACCTTGTACCCTAAACCCTAAACCCCCAAACCTTGTACCTTCGACCCTACCGCTGGCAATTCAAGAGCTCTGTAGGCTCGGCCCAGCACCAGCGACACCGCCAGTACCCCCCACGCCTACTGAGAGCCTCGGCTGTTGATGCTTTGGGGTTCAGGGTATATGCGTGGTTGTCAAACTTAGGGTCCCTTTTGGGTCCCTATTGTAGTACGGCACTTATTATTTAGGGTACCCCAAAAGGGACCATAATTTTGACAACTACCCATATAGGGTTTTCGATTAAGGGCTCGCTGTTTAGGGTTTAGGCTGTGCCCGGGCGAGCTCCAAACAAGCCCAAGCCAGGATGCAAAAGGGTTATATAAGCTTGCCTCAGAAGGTTCTTCGGTGGGCGCCTGGGTCCTGCACTTGGGCTTCACGAATGTTTAAACTTGGAAGCCTAGCTTATCAGAGAATCCCCCTACCCGTTTCCGTTTCCGGTCGTCGGCTTCGTTCAGCTTTGGAGGAGCAGCCAGCAGCTGGATTCATATCGTCGTGTTCTTCGCTCCTGCATGCTTCTTGAGCCCCCTTGAGCAGCGCCACAGGAAAAGGCTCGAGACCCTGAACCCCTTGAGCGCCGAAACCCCTAAGCCCTAAACCCCTAACCCCTAAACCCCTAAACCCCTAAACCCCTAAACCCCTAAACCCTAAACCCTAAACCCCTAATTAAATATTAAACCCCTAAACCCTAAACCCTAAACCCCTAAACCCCTAAACCCCTAAACCCCTAAACCCCTAAACCCCTAAACTCAATTCATAGCCACCCAAGAGCGCCTGAGGCCTGGGCCAGTGCCATCGACACCACCCCACCTTTTACCGATTCCCGGCTGACAGGTTGGTTGTAGGGTTTAGGGTTTAGGGTTTAGGGTGTCAGGCTTAGGGTTTAGGGTTTAGGGTGTCAGGCTTAGGGCTTTTTTCGTTTAGGGTTTAGGGCTGGAAGGTGTCTAGGATTGTGGGGCCCTCTTGCGCCACACTTCCTCTTGTTTGTTGATTCTTCGAAGTCTGTGATACGGTTGATGGAGGAAATCTTGCACCATCTGCCTAGTAACAGGTGACACGACGCTTGAGCATAACCCCGCACCCCCTTTTTAACATTGAAGATGATGGATACGGAGGTGGTGCAAGATTTTTGTCATTGGAACCCACGGCACTTCCGAGGATCACCGGTCAATGTTAAAAAGGGGGCGTGGGGTGTCTGCTTGGTTTGGCCACTTAAACTGGTGCAAGATTTCCTCCATCAACAGTACCTTAAACTGTTGTCCCAGTAAGCAATATATGCAAGTGATGACAAGCCACAATATCGATCCCTCACCATCTCACCATGTGTGTCGGTGTGTCACTGTGTTTCAAGGACCGAGGTACTTGTAGCGAAATGCAGCAAAAACCAGCATTTTGCAGAATACATGCATTTTGAAAAGAAAAACTGCTAGTTTTAGTGTCTTTTATACACATTTGAAGAAAATGCTAGTTTTCCCAACATTTCGGCAGTGTTAACTGTAGTGTTAACTGTAGTGTTAACTGAGTGTTAACTGAGTGTTAACTGAGCGTTAACTGTGGGAAATGTAAGGAATTTACACTAAGCCAGAATACACGCGGAGCTCGCCAGTGGAAGTCCCACCGGAGTGCCGCGGAGCTGCATGGAGCAGACTTGGATCGAAGTGGAGCACCCGGGTCAGGGTGCAAAAAAAGTCGCATCCTGGAAGCCTGCAACCCCAGTCGGCTTGTGTGGTCTCAGCAACCAGCCGTGCCAACAAGCTTGCCGTATCGCAGTCTTGGACATGTGTCGGGCTTGGTCAGGAAGCGTGGTACAGTCGAGTGACGACACAGGCTACAGGCTACTTTGGTCATCTCAGCAAGAAGGATCCTGTCGGTTGATGGAGGAAATCTTGCACCATCTGCCTAGTAACAGGTGACACGACGCTTGAGCATAACCCCGCACCCCCTTTTTAACATTGAAGATGATGGATACGGAGGTGGTGCAAGATTTTTGTCATTGGAACCCACGGCACTTCCGAGGATCACCGGTCAATGTTAAAAAGGGGGCGTGGGGTGTCTGCTTGGTTTGGCCACTTAAACTGGTGCAAGATTTCCTCCATCAACAGTAGCGTCCAGCTTTTTGTTTTTGCTGAGTGTTTCGGTTTGCGCGTAGCTAGCGTTTCGACTTCACGAAGCTGCTTCCTCCTGGGGCCACTGAAAAAGCGGATTTCAGAGCCCACGTGCTTACACTTGCATTCCCGATAGCAGCAGAATCAGAAGCCTTGAACTAACTGCAAGCACAAAAGCCAAAAAACCTTTGGCACAGGCTGTTTACAAGAGCTTCAGCATACGTGGATGTGACGTAAGTGCATCCCTGCAAAGAGCCCCGGTGCACCAAGAAAAGGCTTCCCACACAGCCGCGTCGTTCGCGACGAGCCATATGAAGAACACGTGAGGCGTGGGGCAGCGCCCACGACGCCTTCAGGAATGCCACTCACCACTGATATTCTCGGCTGTCGTACCTGCTGTGAGCTTTCAGCTTATCTGAAGGTTCTTACGTTTGGGATTGTCGACGAGGGCGGCCAACAGGTGTTTCTGATCTGGCGACTATTCGTTGTCGATTTGAGACATCTCTGCAATCTTCGGTGAGTACCGGCTGCCTTCAATCATAACTCCGTGGACATTCAGAAGCAGCTGAGGCTTGGACCGGTGCCATTGACTCCGCCCGACTTCGCACCGATTCCCGGCTGACAGGTGTCTAAGGTTCTGGCTTTGCGAGAAGTGCTAGATTCGCTAGGACTCTATCATCGTATCCAAGCTTGTTTTGTTTCCTTGTGTTTTGGGGACAAGCCTCATAGGTCCTGTTCCGCAGAGCAGTAGACCTGAACACCCCGAGCACAAGCACACAAATCCTTTGACAGAGACTTTTTTCCAAGGGCTTCTGCATAAGTGGCTGTGATCCAAGTGCTTCATCGCAAGGACATGAGCCCCGGTGCCACAGGAAAAGCAGCATCAAAAGGCTTCCCACACAGCCGCGTAGTTCGTGCCGAGCCATATGAAGAGCACCTGAGGCGTGGCGCAGCACCTACGACGCCTTCAGGAATGCTACTTACCACTGATATTCTCGGCTGTCGTACCTGCTTTGATCTTTCAGCTTATCTGAAGGTTCTCATTGCCCAGGGTCACGTTTGGGATTGTCGACGAAGTCTGTCCACAGATATTTCTGATCTGGCGACTATCAGCATTCGTTGTCGATTTGAGACATTTCTGCAATCTTCGGTGAGTACCGGTTGCCTTCAATCATAACTCCGTGGACATCATAAAAGTGGCTGAGGCTGGGACCAGTCCCATCGACACCGCCCGACTTCGCACCGATTCCCGGCTGAAAAGTGTTTACGGTTCTGGCTTTGCCAGAAGTGCTAGATTCGCTAGGACTCTATCATCGTATCCAAGCTTGTTTTGTTTCCTTGTGTTTTGGGGACAAGCCTCATAAATCCTGTTCCGGAGAGCAGTAGCCCTGAATCCTTTGACAGAGACTTTTTTTCCAAGGGCTTCTGCAGAAGTGGCTGTGATCCAAGTGCTTGATTGCAAAGACAAGAGCCCCGGTGCCACAGGAAAAGCAGCATCAAAAGGCTTCCCGACAGCTGCGTAGTTCGTGACGAGCCGTATGAAGAGCACCTGAGGCGTGGGGCAGCGCCTACGACGCCTTCAGGAATGCCACTTACCACTGATTTGATCTTTCAGCTTATCTGAAGGTTCTCATTGCCCAAGGTCACGTTTGGGATTGTCGACGAAGTCTGCCAACAGATATTTCTGATCTGGCGACTATCAGCATTCGTTGTCGATTTGAGACATTTCTGCAATCTTCGGTGAGTACCGGCTGCCTTCAATCATAACTCCGTGGACATCATAAAAGTGGCTGAGGCTTGGACCAGTCCCATCGACACCGCCCGACTTCGCACCGATTCCCAGCTGACAAGTGTTTACGGTTCTGGCTTTGCGAGAGGTGCTAGATCCTGAGGACTATGATCGTATCCAAGCTCGTTTCTTATTGCCCTGTGTTTTGGGGACAAGCCTCATAAATCCTGTTCCCGACAGCAGTGGACCTGAACACCCCGAGCACAAACACACAAGACCTTTGACAGAGACTTTTTTTCCAAGGGCTTCTGAATAAGTGGTTGTGATCCTAGTGCTTCATCGCAAAGACAAGAGCTCCGGTTCCGCAGGAAAAGCGGCACCAAAAGGCTTCCCGACAGCCGCGTAGTTCGTGACGAGTCATATGAAGAGCACCTGAGGCGTGGCGCAGCGCCTACGACGCCTCCAGGACTGCGCGTTCAAATTGAGAGTCTCGGCTGTCGTACCTGCTTTGAGGTTTCAGCTTATCTGAACCCTTCCAAGGGTCAGGTTTAGGTCAGGTTTAGGATTGTCGAGGGCTGCTGGTCAACTGCGGGAAACAGGCTGTTTTTAGGTGATCCTGCGTGAGTGCTTTACTGATTGCCAGCTACTGGAAAGCGTGACGGAACTGGTACTTGCGATTTGTGACTACGAGCATTCGTTGTCGATTTGAGACATTTCTGCAATCTTCGGTGAGTACCGGCTGCCTTCAATCATACGGCTGATGGACAAAATCCTGCATTACCCATTAAAAGGAATATACCATAGTTCCCATAGTCTAGGGTCCTTAGGGTCATGCAGGATTTGTCCATCAACAGTAACTCCGTGGACATGCAAAAGCAGCTGAGGCTTGGACCGGTGCCATTGACACCGCCCGACTTTGCACCGATTCCCGGCTGACAGGTGTCTACGGTTCTGGCTTTGCGAGAAGTGCTAGATTCTGAGGACTCTATGATCGCATCCAAGCTTGTTTTGTCTTTTTGCCCTATGTTTTGCAGACAAGCCTCATAAATCCTGTTCCGGAGAGCAGTAGACCTGAACACCCCGAGCACAAACACACAAGACCTTTGACAGAGACTTTTTTCCAAGGGCTTCTGCATAAGTGGCTGTGATCCAAGTGCTGTATCGCAAAGACTGGAGAGCGCTGGATCCGCAGGAAAAGCAACATCAAGAGGCTTCCCGACAGCCGCGTAGTTCGGTATGACGAGCACCTGAGGCGTGGCCCAGCACCTACGACGCCTTCAGGAATGCCACTTACCACTGATATTCTCGGCTGTCGTACCTGCTTTGAGGTTTCAGCTTATCTGAAGGTTCTCGTTGCCCAGGGTCGCGTGTGGGATTGTCGACGAGGGCTGTCAACAGGTATTCCTGATCTGGCGACTATCAGCCAAAGCAAGGTACCCCTATTTTTCGGAAACTCCCATATATGTCTTGAACTCATCCAAAGCGATAATCGATGAATGAAAGGCTTTGCGCAAGCTTCCGCGTAAGTGTTTTGGGGCGCATTCCGCCTAGAGCCCCATGCCCAAAGAAAGCAGCACATGACAGGCTTCCCGTAAGACACTCGAGGCTTGTGCCGGCACCAGCGACGCCGCCAGAACAACTTTTCTCAGCACCCTTCAGCCCTGAGAATCTCGGTTCTTCTACAAATTGTAGGACTGGAGCGTGGAATTGAATGTCTTTAAGTGACACAGGTCGAGCGTTCTCGCTGTGACTTGTCAGAGTTGTTGGGCTGTCCAAGTTCTTATTTCCGGTTCTAGCAGAGTTTTGTGCGTCTTTGGAGCAGGTGCTTCCGAGGTTTCGGCTTCTTGTAAAAGTGTCCTCCCTGGGCCTACTCAGAAGCATTGTTGTGCAGCAGGCAGAGTCCACATGCTTCAGATGCTTGGATCCCCAAGAAAACAAATCACTGCACCGCAAAGCCTTTAAGCAGATTTGTCCCAAGAGCTTCAACATAAGCCGCGAAAGTTTTTGTAGCACATCCCCGCTTGGAGCACCGATGCCCCAAGAAAGCCGACGTAAGACAGGCTTCCCGAGCAGGAACATAGTCTGTGATTCAGCGTTCGCTCTCGTTTCCAACAGTTGCGCACTTTTAATTTCAGCTGCCTCCAAACTATAGCCGTTAGCTTTCAAGCACCCAGACTCCCCTAAACCCAAAACCCCAAACCCCTAAACCCACGAGACTGCACGCAAACACCCGAGGCTTCTGCCTGCGCCGGCGACACCGCCTCAACAGCTTTTCCCAGCACCCATCAGCCCTGGGAATCTCGGCTGTTGTGCATACTGTAGGGTTTAGGGTTTAGGACTGTCGGGTTGGAGCTTGGGTTCGACTGTTTTTTCGGTGCATTTTGTCTAGCAGTCTAGCACCTCGGTTTCATATGCGAGTTTCCGCCTCAAACATCACAAGAGCCCCTTAATAAGGGACCCATGGGACTTATAGAGTAAGCCATTATTCCCTTTTTGTAAGGGTTCAGGATCCCTTATAAGCCCCTTTAATCCAAAAAGGGCACCCCTTTTTGTTCCCCCGACTGAATACCTTTACAGAGGCCCCTTTGCGTGTTCGCCACAGAAGCCGGCGGGTTGCTGCCCCACGCCCACACTCCCAAGACTGCTTCTTCGGTTGGCCATGGGTTTCTCGGTTGAGCCTTGTAAGCCTAGGTGCGGCTGGAAACCACACCCCCAAAGAACCGGAGACTTTTGCCAACTCCTTAAACCCATCTGAATCTAAGCCTTTACCCACAAACCCCACTCCCGCTCCCACAAAAAGCATCGGCTATCGTGGCTACGTCCGGCTTCGGCCTGCATCTTCATTTTTCTTGCTTTGACAGCGTTCAAAATCGGCCGGAATCACCGGTGCATTTGCAGTGTGCGTGTGTGTGTGTGTGTTGCATTTGGAAGAGTCTTGGAGACCCTCTGGCTTTGTTGTTGGGGGGCCTCCTTTAAAGGGGAGTCTAAGTCTGGGGTTTAATGTAGGAAGCTGATTAAGAAACCTTGGGCTTTTATTAGGGTTCCTTATATGAATCCTAATTACTATTTTTGGGGTTATAGGCCCAGGGTTTCTTAATCAGATTCCTACATTAGGGTTTAGGGCTTTGTTGTTTCTGCTTGTCTCAGGCTTCGGGAAGCTTCCGACGAAAAGCTGCGCTCAGAAGTTAGGTGTCACGTGGGAGGTTCACAAAAACAAGATGCCAAAATAGACTCCGAAGGGTTAGATCCTACGTTAAAGATCAACAGGGGCCCTACATAGGACATAATGCGTTCCCTAATCTGCACAAACTCCGATATTTTGTGATTTCCTGTGGCTCCGTCGTGCCGGTCGCGGGTTCCGCCCCAGACATCCACAACCCGGACCCTCCTGCATGGCTGCAGTAACCTCGTAGCACCCTTCTTATCAGTATGCCATATCCTAATCCTGGCAGTGCCCCTTTGGTAACTGCTTAATTGTTATTGAATCTAATTTTTTAGTGGAGCTTTCTGAGGCTCCGTAGGACAAGCGGCGCTGAACAGGCTTCCCAAACTGGCACCTGCCTTGCGTTTGAATTCTGTATTTGTCACGGCTTGCGGCTTGTTCAAGATCCTTTCACCCTGTAATCCCAGGGAAGTTCTGGATCCCAAAGATGGTGATAGTAATAGCAGGACAACAACAACAACTGGTACGACGACTACTACTTCGACGACTACTACTACCACTGCCACTGCCACTACCACTATTACTACTGCTACTACTACTACTACTACTACTACTACTACCACTACCACTACCACTACTACTACTACTACTACTACTACTACTACTACTACTACTACTACTACTACTACTATTATAATTCTCCTAACAACAGCAATAAGAATGAGAGTAATGAGAATAAGAATAGTAATAGAAACAAATCATAAGAATCTTCAGGCACTCAGAATCACGAGGCACAGGCTCGGCCCAGCGCCGTCGACGCCTACAGCGCCCTTGACTCCTTTGCCAGTACCCACTGGGATTCTCTGCTGTCCTATGCTTAGGGCTTAGAGTGCTTTACGAGACTTCTTGGATCTGCTCGAGCTTGGGAGAGATTCGCGGGAGTCTCCCACTGTCTTGTTGCCGTTTGTCTCGAAGCTGTGCAATCGGTACCTAGTAGATCCTAGTAGTGAGGCTGCTCCAAGATGCCCTGATATGTACACACACACACACACCTCCTCTTGTTCACTTTTGCAGTTGGTGTCATTTCTTCTACTATGATGGTCGCTGTGACTGTGATTATGCTCACCATTTCTTCTTACTCTTATCAGTGGTGTTACAAGTCGTGATTAGTCGCATTCGTGCACTTGTAATGCATAGTAGTAGTTATCATTATGGTTGTTATTATGTTGGCTTTCATCATTGTCATCATGCCCGCCATTGTTACCATTGCGCGTATTGTATCAGGATTCTTGCAACTTCCATTGTTGTTTTGATTGTTGGTATTGTCTTAGGACCGCCAACAGCGCTTTCCTGGACTTCGCGGACTCCACAAGGATCCGACCCAAGCACATGCCCGCAAGGTTTAGGGCCCAAAGTCCGAATGTTCGAATGCTTCTGTGAATAAGTGCGTCTGCATAAGGTGTCGTTAGGTGCATTCGAAACCTCCTAGGCCCTTAATTGCTAAACACTATCCCAAGCCTCAAACTCTTCGAGTTTCACCGGATAAAGACCCCCGTACTACAAGCTTCCCGAAGGGACGCGCAGTTGGTGGCTAGCAGCCGTTCACCCTCGGTTCAAGTCATCCTCAGCCTCGTCAATCCCGTTTGCCTTGATAAGTTCCTTGCTAAGTTCCCAGAGATTCCAAAATCCCTTAATTTGAGGAATATACCTTAAATCATATCAGAGGATCCTATTATGATTGAAGGTATATTCCTTAAGGAATATACCTTAAATCATATCAACGGATCCTACTATAATTCAAGATCTATTCCTCAATTGAGGAATATACCTTAAATCATATTGAGGGATCCTATAATATGTTAAGGTATATTCCTCAATTAAAGAGGTTAGGAGTCTCTGGGTTCTCAGGCTTGGGCCAGCGCCATTCACGCCCGTGACCCCTTTCCCCTTGCCAGCTGAGATTCTCGGCTGTCTTCAGGATTTCAGTTTGTTTTGGGTGCACAAGTCGAGCTTCATGCACATGTGTTTATAGATTAATACATATATATATATATACATATATATATATATACATATATACATATATATATATATATATATATATATACATATATATATATATATATATATATATTATTTCTGTATCCATTGATGTGTTCGTCGTCTTGCCGGGCGAAGGCTCGTGAGCAGCCCGTCTTCTCATCGACGCATTGGGTACTAGACTGGTTCATCGGTTCCCAAACCATGAGGACGGAAATGTGGTTGTCAAGTGCATCCCCACTAATCTTTGCTATGCCTGGTGCCACAGAAAAGTGCTACTGCACCTGCTTCCCGAAAGAGCAATTAGTTTGCAACTACCAGCCGTTAGCCTTCGATTCAATCCATCATCAGACTCGACAAGCTCGCCTGCATTGTTCAAGCAATTGAAATCTAAGAGCACCTTAGGCTGCCGGCGCCATCGACGCCTCCGGCACTGTTGACACCCCTCCCAACACCCACTGAGACTCTCGGCTGAAGCCCGGACTGGCATACGAGTTTTGCAGTGACCGCCCTTGTGGGGTGAAAGCTTGCGCCAGCATGCAGTCTGGTTTCCTCAGCCCTGAAAATGAGACCACAGCTAGTCCCAACCATGGACGAAGGAACATCTTTGAACAGGTCTTGGGATTGTGATCCTGGGACCGACCACCAAATCAGAGAGCCATAGGCTAACATAGGTATATATGTATTAACACAGACATGTAAATATATATATATATATATATAGAGAGAGGTAAATGTATGTAAATACAAATGCAGATCTACATATACATATATATGTCTATGCATATGCTTATGTATATGTAGATATACATGTACATTTCCATGCATGTGTTTACTATTGCATACAGACATGCATACAGAATGCACAGACATGCATGCATGCATACATACACATATACATACATACATGCTTACATAGAGACATACATACACTACGTTACACTACATTGTAGCACATTACATTACACTACAGCACGACACAGTGCGTTGCATTACAATACACCACGTTGCAGTATATTCTATCACATTACATACGTCATTACTACATGCACATGTACACGTTTGACAAACCTGTTCAGTTCTGCTTGCTCTTCCCGGAATTGTAGGTAGATGCTGTGCACTGTTGTCTTAGGTTTCCTTTCGTTCCAGCATTAGCCCTTCGAAGCTCAGCCCCGCGAAGTAGACATCGTAGAAAGTGCGGGTTTAGAGGAGTCGTTGGCTTCGGGCTCCAGGTTTGACGATTAGGGTCTTAGAGCAAAACTTTAGGGTCTTGGGACGTAGCGTTTAAGGTGCTATTCTAATGCGTGAGGGATGCTTCGTCCCACCTTCCCAGGCCCTGGAGAGGCAAGAGACAGCTTGTTCTCCGGTAGCCAAGTATGAGTGCTAATGCCAAAAGCCTCGAACTGCCCTTAAACTCAAAACCCCTCAACTCCAAAGACACCAAACATACAAAGTCCGAACTCAGCCCTGTCAACTCGTGAGAAAACCTTAAGATAGCAGCCCTCTCCATTTCTGGCCTTAGCTTTCCTCTGTTTTGCTGGACCAGTGTGGGGTTTCCAGATTTTGACTCAAGGAGAATATAGTTGATTGGGGCTTAGGGGTTCAGTAAGTTGGGGTTAAAGTTTAGAGTTTTGAGCTATTTCGTAAAATGTGGGTGTCTTGCATTGGCATAACTATCCGCACTACACTTCCTGAGCCTCCGATCCCAACGTCTTGCCCTGTCGAGTACCCACTTCCTAGGTGGTCCCCATTGAACTCTCGAAACGCAGTGTGCCGCAGGGAGCAGAGCATTAGAGACCCAAAAAAAGAGCAGCGGCAACAGCAGCTTCAACAAGTTCTGACATCTTAGGCAGCCCGACCTGCCGTGTGTCCTTGCAATAGACTTCTCGGACCATGTGACTTTGTATATAAGCTGCTTATAAAGTCGGGTTACAATCACCCTAATATGGACTGCTGGCCAGAACACCTTGCTTCGAACGTACCTACTGACCTTAGAAACCCTAAACCCTACTATAGAAGCCCTGAACAGTACCTACAATTACTATTTTGGGGGTTCCGTATTGAACTTGTGGTGCAGTATACCCCTGTATTGCACCCTTTGAGCTTCAAGTTAGCTTTGGCAACCCCAAGAGCACTTGAGGCTGGGGCCAGCAGCGACGACGCCAAGAGACTTCGTTCAGGTTGCAGAGGGACCCGTGTCATGTCAGGGTCCCAACGACACATTCCCTGCCCTTGTGCCTCTCGGCTGAATTATGGCCTAAACATGTGTTTTTTTGTTTTCTTGGGGGGGGGGGGTTCTGTTTGTATTTTTGAATATAGTTCTGTGAGGTTTCGACGTTTGGTGCAGGTTTTCCTGGTACGGATCATGTCACTCTTTCTGTTTGCCTGACGGCTTTTGCGCTTATGCCAATGCACGAACCAGACTGACAGTGACCACACAACATCCACGTTGCTTGCAGCTGCTCACTGCGTACGACCTGGAAGTTTGACCAGAATCCCTAAGCCCTGAACAATCCTGAAGAGACCAGAAGCCATGCCAGCCGAATGCAAGTGTGTGAGTCTGAGTCGAAACAATCCTTCAGGGCTCTTGGGTTTACAGGTTTGGGGTTTCGGTCAAGATGACTGCAGGTCGTAGACTGGCTAGACTTGAGTCCAGAAACAAAAGGGGTTTGGGGTTTCGTTTGGCCTCAGTACGGGTTCAAAAAAGGGTTGTGGTTTAGGGGTTCAGGTTTTAGGGGTTTAGGGTTTAGGCTCTTTATACGTCTCAACCGGCAGAGCTCCCCACGTAAAGCCCAAATTGAGATCAGAACCAACTGCAATGCCAAGGTTTCGAACTAGGACCGGTTTCCGAATACGATGGGGTTTCCCACTACATGAGAGGATTACTTTAACTTAAAACCCCTCCCGGCACCCTGAGTGCGAAATCTCATTGCCGAGCATTCCAACGATATCCTTCCGTCTACACTACAAGGGCCTCAAAGGCATTGAAGGGCTTCCCCCTAAACCCTAACCCCTAAACCCCTAAACCCGAAACCCTAAACTCTAAACTCCTAGGTAGGAGGGACAAAACTCCTAAACCCTAAACCTCTAAACTCTAAACCCCTAAACCCTAAACCCTATTTCTTGCAAGTCCCTAGACCCAAAGCCTCCGAGGTCGCTGGACGCAAACCTTGTTGAGGTCGCAGCCAGCCCGATCAGGAAGAAGATGCTCGGGTTGCAAAAGCCGAAATGCTGAACACTACGGTTGATGATATACATCCTGCATTATCTTAAGGACCCTAAACAATGGGAATACTGGTATACTCCTTACTATGGGTAATGCAGAATCTATATCATCAACCGTAGCATTGTTGCTATGTCATCGGTAAGTAGCCTTGTTGTCAGTAAGTCTTCATAGTCTTGTCCTTAAGGACTGCGATATTTTGACAGTTGTTGCAACAACAGTGACGACAACAAGTCTTGCTCTTAGTGTCACCAGCCTTAGTATTGTTCATGTCTCGACCATCATGATCAGTACCACTACGACTACCGACCTTGCCACTGTCATGATACCTTACAATTAAACCCTAAACCCAAACCCTAAAAATTAACTCGTGAAAACGACGGCTAAGACGCTAATGGCTGCCGGGCCTCAGGAACCCGCAGTCGGGCATGAGGCGGCCTTGGATGGATCGTTAAGAGGTTTTTGGGCGTTTCGGGCTTAGAAGGGCGCGAGGCTTAGGGTGGAAGTGCGTAGGGTTTAGGGATGGTGGGCCAGGGCCAGATGCTGCGAAGGTCTGAGCCGGTTCCCTACTTCATAACACGAAACAGGGGGCAGACTCAAATGGCTCGAGAAGCTCTACATCGCCACATGGGTGAAGAACGGCGAGAGGCGAGATCAGTTTCTGCGTAGATCGGCGTAGATCAACAGCGGCACAGCACACACCAGAAGCTAGAATCTAGAAGCATTCCCACTACCATGACCCGAAACACAGTTCTGCCAGGGCAAATACCGTGCCAGGACATGCCATGGCACTCCATTCTGTCGCCATACCATGCCATGCCACACCACGCTTAAGGCCATGCCTTAGCTTTCCTTGCCTTACATAATTCCCTTACACCACAATGCACTTCGGCACATTGCCCATGCATGCACACTCATGCTTGCCGCAGCAGGTGTATGTCGAAATCCATCTGCAACGATAGACGGATGTAAGCATGCAAGCAAGCATGTATGCATGCATGTGCATGCGCAAAGACAAACAACTCAATCAGTCGTCCTTCGGGCGGAACATGCCCTGCCCTGCTGTGCCCTCCCATGCCCTTCTACCGGTCACCTCAAGTAATTAGTTCGGATCCTTAACTACCCAGGAATACATATCAAAACCTCAACGGCAGCATGACGGGCCCTAAGCTCTAAACCCTGAACTCTGAACCCGAACCCTATCCCAATTAGCCATTCAACCGGTTTAGCGTTCAAGTTTTTTCCAGCCTTAATCCTAAACCCTAAACCCATACACCCCGGATCCAAAATTATGGTTTGAATGACTAAACCCTCAACCCTTGAACCCTAAACCCTCAAACCCTAAACCCTAAACCTCTAAAGCTAGTGTGAGCGCCGAAACCTCTAAAGCCGTCTTCGACGTCCGGTCCAAGAGCCAAGGAAGCGACCAGCCCCGGAGAAAGTCTCGGATCGTGCCAAGCGCCCAAGGACCGAGAGGGATCACAAGGGTTTCAGGGTTTGGGTTTCAGGGTTTCAGGGTTTGGGTTTCAGGGTTTAGGGTTTCCGGTTTAGAGTTTCAGGGTTTAGGGTTTCAGGGTTTCAGGGTTTAGGGTTTCAGGCTCGCCCTTCAACCAGGCCTGACGCTTCGAGTGCCTGTCAGAGAGAGAGAGAGAGAGAGAGAGAGAGAGAGAGAGAGACGGTTCTAGGGTTTAGAGGTTCGGGTATTGAGGGGTCGAGCATTCAGGGCTGAACTAGGATTCAGGGTTTTTTTAGTACACTATGTGCGAGTTCTCTTAAGGACGATTGGGGGGATCTTCAGGGTTCTTATCGGGGCCTTCTGGACAAAATCGAGTACCTACAGCCTACAGGGTCATACCCTACCACATTTTTAAGGTACCTACTTTTCTATAGGAGAGAACCTAACTCACCAAAACTGGGTACCCTAAAGAAGGGGGTAGGGTATGACCCTCTGCTGGTAGGTATGGTATTCCCAAACCTGGCAGGGAGGGATCCTCCGAGGATCTTCGGGGTTCATGTAGGAACCTGATTAAGAAATCTTGGCCCTATAACCCCCCCCCCCCAAATTCGGCTGATGATGTAAATCCTGCATTACCTTAAGGACCCTAAAGTATGGGAATTATGGTACATTCTCTATTATGGGCAATGAATGATTTATATCATCAACCGTAGTAGGATTCATATAAGGAACCCCAAATAAAGGTCCAAGGTTTCTTAATCAGGTTCCTACGTTAATACAGAGGCCTGAAGCTGCAGAGATGGATGTGGGGAGTTTCCGAAACTTAGGGGTACCTTGTTTTGGGGTCCTTGTAATACGGAAAATACTATTTAAGGTGCTATCAAAAGGGTCCCCGTAATTTCCGGAAACTCCCATGTGGGGACACATTGTTATACTATAGTTCATTTTTTGGGGGGAGCGAGTGTCAATATGCTTCGGGGGTTGTCTATACCATACCTATACAAAGGAAATATATTGCAGCATCGTTAAGGTTAGACTTTCTCAAGATTGCAACCACACAAATATGACATTCTTTTTCGGGGCCCAAGGTCCATGCTGTAAATTATGCCTGTAGGTCGCGGTTTCGGGATTTATGGTTTAGGGTTGACGGCCAGTGCGGTGCAGCTGCTGCCTGCTTAGGTTTGTCAGACAGCTAGCTCCTTTAGCGCCCCGACATCTGTGTTGTCGAGAGCTGGGGTTGCGGTTAATCTGTAAATCCTAAAGCTAGACAGGTGGCAAAAAGAAACTAGAGCCCCGCTTGGAGGGTCGGGGGACTTAGTAAGTAGTTATTTTAGGGACTTATATGTACCATAACCCCAATTAGGGTCCCCTTTAGGGTACTTATAAGTCTACTTACTACCTACTTACTAAGTCCCCCGACCCTCCAAGCAAACTCTGCGGAGCTTGTGCGTTGGCCCTCGAAGCCAACTTGTCGAAACCTGGGTCTCAAAATTCGGAGATGCTGGTATAGAACCTGTTGGATAGGATGCATGTCGAAAGATCCCAAAAGGGATCCGGTAATTCTCGGTAAATCCGAGATTTTTGTGAGGAGCGGCGTCAAGGATCTCTTTGTCGATATCAGCCGGATGGCTGCATTCTCGACGACGGGCTCCATGTCCGCATCTTGATAAGATGTGCGAGTCGAAGTTCACGGTTTGTGGCTTAGTAGGGCGTAAGGTTTAGGCTTCAAGGTTTCGGTGCGCGGGGGTTTAAGTAGGGCTCATACCTTGGGGTCACCTGTGTAGCTACTTTCTCAAACTCAACACAAAGTCTTTGGTCGCATTGAATTGTTAATGCTTTCATTTTGGGTTTTTTTGGGCATTCGGGTGGAGCTTTAAGAGTCTTTGAGGGCTTACGGATCTTGAGTTTAGGGTTTAGGCGGTTTACGGTTTAATGTGATCAGCCTGACAGGGTTTGGGTCAGTTGAGGCTAGTAACAAAGGGATAATCGCAACCAATGCCCGAAAGCTTTCTAGCAGTGGGAAGAGAAAATAGCCCCAAGCCCCGTGAAGCCCTTGCACCCCGGATACCTTACATGCCCTGAACACTTCATCTGGGATCTTTGTCTGCTGGCCATTCGGAGCTTGTTTCATGTTCTGCACCCTTAGCCCCAAGACTCGAAGCCCTGGATTCCTAAACCCCTAAACCCTAGACCCCTAAACCCCGAAACCCCGAAACCCTAAACCCCTAAACCCTAAACCCTGGAATCCTAAACCCTGAGCCCGTCAAAGGATGAACCCTGAGCCTGCGTTAGATTTTAAACTCTCACAGGCCGACGCCCTTACAGTCCCAATCCCGACATAGAGACAGAAGTAGAAATAGATATCCACTTACTATGACAGCAGGTACATACATACATACATACAGGCATACATAGTATACCTGAAGCCTTTAAACTTTCTGTAACCATGAAAAGCATTCCTAAGTAGCCAGGCTATGTTCTTGGCGGTGGACAGTGGGGAGCGATGCTGGGCTTTGCGACCGCATGCGTCAAGGCGGTGCAGTGAAGATGTCGTAGAATCCGAGATGTGGAATCTCAAGAGTATGAGCATGTAGGTACGCTTCGTTTCAGGTTTCCTTTGAAGCAGTGCTTTAAAACGTGTGCTAGACGGTTGGTATAGGTGCTCCTGTACAGTGATAACTTGGGGGTCGTCGGATCAGGGAGTGCTTCTAACAGAATGGTGTTTTCGTTTGAGAAATTCCTGCATCCGCCGGCTGAGAAAGATGAGGCAGAGAAGCACCTGTTTGGCGACCCGAAAAAACGACACATCGCGTGCCTTGTACAAGCCCAAAAAACTCAATTGGCCGCGCCAGATCCTCATAGTGTTCTAGCACAAAGCTGCTGTGAGCGTGATTCGCCACAACGGCAGACCGGAAAGAACCATGCCTATGAGCCCTGCTTTGTTCAGTTCGCCTGGTCCATGAAACTCCAGAATCTAGAAGCTCAGGGACTCCAAAACCGTAAACCCCTAAACCCAAAGTCCTGTAGCCTGCAATGGGGGCCTCGTCCTTGCAAAGCAGGAGGGGGACAAATCCCATACCTTAAGCTCTCCATGCTTAGTAGGGATTGGGGGAATGGATGCCTATAGTAGTCCCTGTATACTCGCCAATAATAATAGTCTTCCCCCATTCCCTACCAAGAGCCAGACACTCTACTAAGAGCCCTAAACCCCTATAGCAAAACCGCCCTTATAGTCACCCTCAAAGGAACCCTAGGAGACCGGAGACCCCAAAGCTCCACCAAGCCTCAATCTCTCAGACGGAGCGGACCGCATGTCTGTGCAGTTGCTGCGGCCCATGTACATAGACTAGGATGCCCAGTAGTACCCTTATTCCCTTTTTGTAGTCCTAGGTTCGTTATAAAGTTACCCAATACCAAAAAGAGAGGCCTTTTTATTCTTAGGTTACTGGGTATCCTAGTAGAATTCAGCTGATGCCCCCCCGATCTTGGATCCGGGGATTCCGGGAGCCTCGAGCAGCCCTTGAGGGACAAATTTTCCTACGTCCTAAGCTTGTCCAAGCAGTATACCGGCAGCTGTACTTTCCCAACTGAGCATCTTACGCGGGTTGAAGTGCCTTTTTTGCGAAATGTATTCGCCTACATACAGCCGTTGGTTAAGCCAGCTGATTGCTCAGAACTTATTGGCTTAAGCACCCCTTAGTAACTTAGCTCGGCCGTACCAAACCCTTACCCTGCTCAAGATGTAAGTTCTGAACAGTTTTGGGGGTTCTTTTTTTGTGACTATAGTATAATATACCCCAAAACCCTATTGAAATCATTAAACGGCCCTATATCAAGCTCTTCATTTCAGTGGTTAGAGAAAGGCCTGAACCATTGGGCAACACTGTTTCCTTATAGCCCCTATATCAGTACACTAACACATGGCTTACAACCCCATGCGGAAGCATTTGGGCCCTAGATCGAACTTAAGCCCTTATATAGTCGGACCCTTATAGAGCCCTGCAGCAAACTGTATTCTTCTTCATTACAGTAAAAGCCAGAAAGTTGGAATATGATCATCCTAAACGCTTTATGGTAAATTATAGGGTATCCTACCCTGAAACCATATTCCAACTTTCTGGAGTTCCCTTTAAGGCCCCTGTTTTATGTCGGAATAAAGCCCAAAGACCCCCTTGGGATGCTGGTCTCACTGGATGCATCCTGACAAACATTCAGCTTGGCACATCCACGGCGGGGCCAAGTCAAGCGTTCAGGTTAATACGATACTGCAGGGGGTAAGATACCTCTTAGGTAGGGGTTTTAAGGGTTTCGGAATGTCAGGCTGAAGGATTCAGAGTTCAGGGATTCAGGTTTTGACAGGTTTAGGTTTGTAGTATTGAGGGTTTTCAGGGTTAGGACCCTGGAACCATCGTTTTAGAGCGCCACTTGCTTGTCTTAGGATACGTTCCGCAAGCAGCTCAACGAGCAAGACTTCACTTGTTGCTGAAGCATCCGGGCTCCAACATGGACCCATTTGCCAGAGAAATGCTAGTTACTAATTGTATGCGTTGTCACATCAGCAGGTGTAGCTACTGTCGTCTTTACCACAACTGTAGTATATTGATTGAATCGTAGTACTAGACTATCAACCTATCCGAATGCGTTGGACAATTACAAGCCTGGGGATGTGCCAGCTGCGAAAGCTTCATTGCACAATCTTGATTTCAAGTACTGCTCCAATCGCATACTCGGGCTGTCCAAAGCCCTTGTGGATGGATGACACGTTACTTCGTTTCTTTTGTGACCAATGTTCGGATTGGGTTACATTACATTTGGGGTCTTGCAACGTTCCAACTGACTGGAATAGGCTGTTGCATTTCTGGGCTTCAAAGGCCGCAAAGACGACTTTTTCTGGCGAAGAATTCCAGATCCCGTAAATCCTTATACTAGCCCTTACAGTAACCCTTACAGACCCCTTTCAAGGAACCTTATTCCACTTGTTAAGGCTGTGGTTGGAGCTTGAATGTGTTTTGTCGATTCTGTGCTTCTCAGAGAGCGCGAGGCCCGGAAGGATTGTAGTTTAGGTGGGGTTTAGGGGTTTAGGGTTAAGGGTATAGGGCTTGGTGCATTGCAGCCCCTGCTCAAAAAAGGGTTAAGGGTTTAGGTTTTGAGTGAATTGTGTTGGGGAAGTGCACCGGAAGCAGCACTTCGTGGAGACTGCAGGGCGTTTGTGCCGTCATAGCATCGAGGTGTGACTGCTCATAAAACCCTACTGTTCCACCCTGCCGAGCTTGATGCTTGGAGGTCCGTGGGATTTGGTTAAAGATATAATTGGTGTAGCTCCATTTGGGGTACGTATAATTCTACAGATAGCCTACTTACTAAGTCCCCTGGGCCTCTAAGTGCTCTCAGTCATGTCTTCAGATCATCCGGTTCGGTTCCTTGTTTGGTCAAACTCGCTACGCTGATGAAGGAAGGCGACCTTATGGGCTGTGTGCTTGGTCGACAGACGTTCCAAAATGCAAGGGGGGCGGGGGGCGGGGGGGGGGGGGGCTTGGGGCTAAGCCCTAAAAATCTTAATCCCTAAAAGCCACACTAAAGCATCCGAAAACCGTTCCTAACCCCTATACTTCCTACCCTTCAGTAAAATGACATTAAAATCCGTAAACCTTGACTCAACCTCCAACAAAGGTCCAGCATGTGCGGGGGTTTTGGAGGCTCAGCGGTTCCTAAACCTGTGGGCATAGGGTTTTGGGGTATATTTTACTTTAAATACAAAAAGGACCCACCAAACCCCATTCTAATTACCCTACAGTAGGGTCTATGGAATTATAGTGCCCCAGGATTGAAGCAATTGACTTCTCGTGTAGTTGTTCGCACACGTGTGCTTGATCTTACTTGACAATATGATTCAATGCACGCAGAATTAGACTTTGATGTCCAGAGCCTTGTTGGATCGCGATCAGACAAAGGTGTTAATTCTACAGAATGATGAAGTAGTAGTAGTAGTAGTAGGAGGAGGAGGAGGAGGAGGAGTAGTAGTAGTAGTAGTCGCAGTAGTAGTAGCAGTAGTAGTAGTAGTAGTAGTCAAGTTGGTCTAGCAGGCTTAGACACCCGAAACGTTCTCTGTCTCTGTCTCTGTCTCTGTCTCTCTCTCTCTCTCTCTCTCTCTCTCTCTCTCTCTCTCTCTCTCTCTCTCTCTCTTTCTATCCATCTTAAACCTTCAACACTCAAGGCCCTCCTCTAGGGGCCCGAATAGTTAGCAAGATCATTAACCTCCAGCTATTGAGCCATGGATAGTCATAGGTACGGACACCTCCAGAACCCCCCCATTCTAGTGATCCAGGCTTATAGGTCTTAGTAGCTGAGTGGATACACTTGACAGTTTTTTGGGATAATATTACCCACTCTAAAACTGAAAGTGTACACCTTTTGGGGGCTTATGAACTCAGCAACTACGAGGTTACTATTGATCCTTGTCCTTGCTGGTCCTCTTCCTTACCGTTGGTTAGTAGGGAATGGAAGAATGGTAGTAATGGTAGTTACAATTGTACCCTATTCCTCCATTCCCTACTAACCTAGGGTAAGTTTTAGGATTATTAAGGCCCCTACACTATAGTACCCTTATCGATCCCTTATAGTAACCAAAGGTAAGCTTCTGTTTCGGCCCCGCAGCCTTGACGATCAAGCGATGGATGCAATGCAGCGTTTCAGATCGCCTGATTCAAGCATCTTTCTCATGAGATTGAGGATTTGGTGTCTAGGCATTTCTAGCTTGTGTTTAAGGGTTCATGGTCTACCTGGCTTCCAGTCCAGAACACTCCTAGTCCAAATACACCGAAGCTTAAACAAATTGCAGCGTCTTCCCTGCACCGAATCTCCGTGGCCTGCAGCTCTTAGGTGCCCTGTGAGCAGGACCTTTGCTTCTATTTCCTACTACCTGGTAGTTCTCTAAATTCGGGTCCCCATGAGGATGCTTTCTATATGGGTGCCGTCGTATTTTGGTGACTTACTAAAAGGGAATTCCAATTTTGAGATCTACCCCAAACGGGTTCCTTTAAGGAAATTCCTCTTCGGGTTCTACACCTTAAACCCAGAAATTCAGAACCCTACACCCTAAACCCAAAATTTCCTGCAATACGGGCTTCGTCCTTGCTAGGTAGGAGGAAAAAAACCCAAAATTCATAACCCTAAACTCTGAACCCTAAACCCTACCTTCAGAAACCCATGCGCGAGACTTCCAGGACCTCGTGGTCACGTGGATGCAAGCCGTCCTGCCGAATGGAGACACTTGGGACCCCTCCAGGTTTTCAATTTAGGGTTTAGGGGTTTAGGGTTTAGGGTTTAGGGATTTAGGATTTAGGGTTTAGGGTTTAGGGATTTAGGATTTAGGGTTCTGTGGCCTAAACCAAACCGTCATCATAGGGTTTAGGGTTCTGTGGCCTAAACCAAACCGTCATCATCTTCCCATCTAGGTCGATATGGGGGGTTGTCAATATTCTGGCCCCTTTGTGGGTCCCTAATATCATACGGCACCTGATATTTGGGGTACCCAAAAAGGGGCCA